AAACTGAATAAATAAATTTTGATTTTGATTTGATTTTGATTTTGATGTACTTGTTTCAAGACATACGTTATGAGTTAAACGGCGTTGAAATAGATAAAGTGAAAAATGCTGGTATAACAACTACTATGAAATCTTTACTCTCCATGAATGAAACTGAATCGAAGATATCCGAAGTCTGGGGTTGGAATATACAGGGCTTAAAAAATACTATCGGTGGTCACTTCTCTGTATCAATACCACTAAGTAACATATTAGGATTTGCTGAAGATTATAAAAAGGTTATAGCAAATTGTAAGCATGAGCTTGTTCTATTACGAAGCAATACAAACCTCAATGCTTTAAAACTTAATAACGATGAAGTAATAGAAAGTATTGATATACATAAAATAATTTGGCGTGTTTCTCATGTCAAAGTATCTGACAGAGAAAAAATCAATTTACTCAAAATTCTGGAAAAAGATAAACCAATTCAATTGACGTTTCGGAACTGGGATCTTTACGAATACCCAATGCTACCAAAGACCACAAAATATACATGGTCAATTAAAACTTCTACTCAGATTGAAAAAAAACCTAGGTATGTTATTCTCGGCTTGCAAACTAATAGAAAAAATAATGGATCAAAAGATATGTCCCAATTTGATCATTGTAATCTACGTGATGTTAAGGTTTATTTAAATTCTATTTATTACCCTTATGAAAGCTATAATACCGACTTTGCAAAGCACAACTATGCCTTAATATATGAACAATTCGCAAATTTTCAGCAGTCTTATTATTCGCGTAAATCGAGTTGTTTATTAAGTGCTCAAGAATTTAGAGAATATGCACCATTATTTGTAATCGATTGTTCAAGGCAGAACGATAATATTAAAACAGGACCCGTTATTAACATTCGCTTAGAATTAGAGAGCCATAAGGAGATACCGGACCAGACATCAGCATATTGTTTGATTTTAAACGATTGCATAGTCGAATATAAACCTCTTAGTAATATAGTTCGTAAAATATCATGACTTCTACTGTTTTTGTCGATATTCAAGGATTTAAAGATTATCAAAATAAGTTCATTTTAAAAGAATTAGCATTGTCGACGAAGGATATTTCTCAGGTTTTCTTAGTAAAACCACCCTACCCGTATTCAAAGTTAACCGTGGATGAAAAAAAGAAAGTGAGATTAATTGAGCGAAATAGAGGTATCACGTGGAGTGAAGGAAATATTGATTACAGAGAATTCAAAACACTTATCATTCCAATTTTACAAAACAAAACTATAATCATGAAAGGATTAGAGAAACAGAAATGGATAAAGGAATTGTGTGAAAACTGTTTTTTGGTAAATATTGAAGAAAAAGGTAGTCCTAATTTTTTTGATCTGTATAAAACAT